GTCTGGAGCAGCACAAACAGGGAGTGATAATGCCTCAGCCTGACACTGAAAGAGATGTTCCTCCAGAATCTGTTGGGTCAGATGCAGCCTCATCTGCTTTAGATATTCCTTCCCTAATTGAGAGGGCTATAGCAAAACTACCTCCAGATCTACAAGCCCAAGCTGTTGACAAAAAGAGGAAGGCAAGGTCACAAGACCCAGGATGGAAGTATGGGTGGTGGGAAGATCCAACCAAGAAAGACTTTGTGACATGTATATTTTGCAGGAAGATAGTGCCTTCGGGCATAAGTAGGTTCAAGCAGCACCTTGCTGGATGCTATGGAGATGCTCTTGGCTGTCCTAGATGTCCAGAAATAGTTAAGAAGGAGATGTTGGCTTACTTCAAAAAGAATTCAAGGACTGTTCCTGTGGCGGCACAAGTTGAAGATGAAGAGGAACAAGTTGATGCTGTTGTAGAAGAAGCTGAAGCTGCAGCTGAACCAGTACCAAGTTCTGGAACAAAAGGTAAGCAAGTCAAGAAGAATATTGCTTTCCAAATCACCAGAGGAACTCAAAAATATTCTAGGTCAGTGAGTTCCATGCTTTCCAAGTCACCAGAGGAAGTAGTTGCAGAGAGGCACAAGTCCAAGCTAAGTCAACCTACACTTGAGCACTGCACAAAGAAAAGTAAGGAGGCCAAAGAAATTGTTGATAATCATGTTGCAGATTTCTTTTATGAGAATCGCCTTCCATTGAATGTCATTAATTCAAGAAGCTTGGAAATTTTGGTTGAGTCAATTGGACAATATGGTCCTGGGTACCGGTTACCATCATATCATGAGATTAGGAATCCACTCCTTGAAAAGGCTGTAACTAGAACATCAGAGATGAGGAAGAAGCATGAGGAGGCATGGAAGGAATATGGTTGCACCCTAATGTCGGATGGGTGGACTAGCACAACCCACCGACATCTCATCAATTTCCTTGTTAACAGTCCAGCAGGAACTTTTTTTCAAGGGTCTGTTGATGCTTCAAGTGAGGTAGCAAATACAGCTATGTTGGCTGATTTGTTGGAGAAGCAAATTGAAAAGATTGGGAAGGAACATGTGGTGCATATTGTAACTGACAATGGAGCCAACTTCAGGGCAGCAGGGAGGCTTTTAATGGAGAAGATTCCCCATCTTTTTTGGACACCATGTGCAGCCCATTGCTTGGATTTGTTGCTGGAGGACATTGGGAAGATCCCAGAATTTAACAGTTGCATCAAAACGGCAATGAAGGTGACCAGATTTATGTATAAGCATGGGAGGGTACTAGATCACATGCGAAATAAGATTGGAGGGGACCTTGTGAGACCAGGTGTAACACGTTTTGCCACTTCATTTCTCACATTGTCATGCATGTATAAGCATTGTCGTGCATTGAGGGGCTTAGTGGTTAGTGAAGAATGGCATGAACTTTCTTACTCTAGCACTCAAGAAGGCCGGCGTGTCGAGAACATTATCCTTTCAGTTCAGTTTTGGGGTAAAGTGGAATCATGCCTAAAAGCTTCACAACCACTTCTTGTTGCACTAAGGATAGCAGATGGAGATGAGACACCAGCAGCTGCTGAGATTATGGCAGCCATGGATGTTGCAAAGGCTGCAATAAAGGAATCTTTGAAACACAAACCAGAATTACTCAAACAAGTGCTACTTTATTATGATAATAGATGGGAAAATCAAATGGAGCAGAAGCTGTATGGAGCAGCCCTCTTCTTAAATCCAAGCAAATTCTTTGCCATAAAGGAAAAAAACATGAGACAAGCTTCGAGGTTGAGGCTAATGTTTAATCAAGTTATGTGGAAGATGGTGAGTGAGGAGGAGGAGCAGAACAAGATAAGCATGCAGGCTGATGACTAT